TGCTGTTGTTGTAGCTGTTGTTGTTGTTGTTGTTGTTGTTATTGTTGTTGTTGTAGGTGTTGTTGTTGTAGCTGTTGTTGCTGTTGTTCATCCCTCGAGGTGACAAAAGCCATGTAGTTATCCTGGGACGGGGAATGAGAGGGCAAATGACAGGTCATACCAATCTGAGCCCAGAAAGTTCAGTCACAATGCGGACAGTGGAAGACGGCGGCAGCAGTTGGCGATCTGCTCTTTCTGGAGAACCGGCACTGCTAAGCCGCAGCAGTTCAGTTGTGTACATATAATATTATTATTTCTGCACCCTTGCAAACAACTGGGTGCCTACCAACTCTGCCCGGGGCAGTATGCCCTCGTGTCGTGTGGTTACTTATGTATGAATGCCTTCATGGAAACTTTGAGACTGTCTTTTTTATAGTAGAGGTTTTACGGCACTCGCAACTGTGTAAGGTCATATGGGCGCCAGGAGACCGTCTTTGAAGCGCTTTTTGTGCCCCTCAAAAGAGTGTTTACCTTGTAGCAGTTCGTCAAACAGTAGTTTGTTTGTCGTCCGATTGTCTAGCATGCAAGCTATATGATCTGCTCATCGAAGTTATGCCAGCACGAGTGAGCACTCAAGTGTCCGGAACCTTGTCTTGTCACTTCTCTACCTAAGAATTACAAAGTTCTATTTGGCGTTTTCGGCTCTTTTGAGTTACTAAGACCATGGCGTTCTATCTGTTCCATCAGAATCTTAAGATTATTTGGAGTCGTTATAAAATGTTCAAAGAATTGCATTAAAAAAAACTTGGCATGAAATGAAGTTCAAAATCTTTGACGTCAAATTTCTCAAAACTGGGCACTGAGCAGAAAGAACTGTGTAATTCTGAAGTAGCGATTTATTAATGCATGTAAGTCGTCTGAGATAGGTGGTAGGAAAATGGTTCAGTTTCCTGGCATGAAGCTGGTCTCAGTCCATGTTTGGCAGACAAAGAGAGAACAGTGTTGTTAAAATTATCCCCCGGTGGTTACTAGAATGATAATCAGATCGACAATATTAAATAGTTATTGTTGGGAAGCTCGTGGATATAATACGTATGTATTTCTGTGTAGCTACATGCTGGTGTCTGCGAGCCTGTATCTGTTCTGTGTGTGTGTGCACGAGCGCGTATGCGTGTGAGAACTCGTGAGCTTAAAATCAACGATTTTTATGCTAAGGCGCTGGCTAATTCTTTTTCTTCTGGCCATGGCTGTTCATTGAGACACGTGTCTCTGATTTCCCCGTTTTCATGATTGTGGTTTCCATGGCAACAGATTAGCACCCCATTGAACGTTTTTACGAGGAGATGATAGAGTTTAAGGAAACACGAAATGAAAGTATAGATTTCCCCTCCCTCATTATAGGAGGTGTTAACAAAAGAAAATTTTTCAAAAAGTAACGAAGGAAATCGTATCAATGTTTCCTATTTGATGTTTGTTTGCTCTTCTTATCATGTCAGCGTATATCATGCCGTACGCACTTGCTTTCCTCATTTCTATTAATTTTACTTGATGCTTCTGTTTTTCACAAATAAATATAGGTGCTTTCAAGCCCCAATCAACATAATTTTGATCAATCATGAGGCAGGCGTCGATCCTGTCTGTCAGGGCCAATCCTGGAAGAGAGAAATTAGAACACCCCAGCAGAAAGTCCATGATACTCGATGAAAATTCCCCCTTCTCGGAAATCGAGCTCGGATCTTCTGCGCGCGACAAAGAAGCCCTTGACAGTTCGTCCCACTGTCGCCAGTATTTTTATTCATTCGGACCACAATATACAAAATATGTACCGAAGCTTGATGTGAAATAAGCATGAACTTTTGAAATAGTATTATAACAGCGAAATGATAACAATAATATTATAGATCTATTTTGTATTTGTTGTTATCTTTCGCAGATTCTGTTAGCCACAATCTCACAACAACGAAGGTGACGTCATCTGATCGTGATGACGTCATCACCAGAGCTGGGCCATGAGCAGGACGTGCAGCACTTGTTTCGCGCCATTCGGAAGGGCAAGGCTCACCTGACCCGCTTTATGCTGGCCGCGTCCAACAACGCACTGCTCAACTGTTGGAGCAGCGAGGGCCGCACGCCACTGATTGAGTGCTGTTATATTCGGGTAAGTACACCGTCCACTCCTGCAACAGCAACATCAGCAGCAACAGCAGTAGCAACAGCAATAGAAGTAACAAAAACAGCAGCTGCAGCAGCAAAAGCAGCAACAGTAGCAAAAGCAGCAACAGCAGTAATAGCAGCAACAGCAGCAACAGCAGCAACAGCAGCAACAGCAGCAGCAGTAGTAACAACAGCAATAGCAGTAACCGGACTCGTAATCGTGAGGTTGCGGGTCGGGGGTTCGAGCCGCGGGCCCGACGTTGTGTCCTTGGGAAAGGCACTTTACACGAATTTTCCTCACTTCACCCAGGTGGAAATGAATACTCGGCCATAGACAACGAAAGATCTTGTCAGTATGTTAGTGCTTTAGCGCCTATAAATGGTTGCTTGCACTGTATGCTTCCCAGGAAGTTTCAGAATGCTCTCATGTGTGCTGGGGTAATAGTATAGATTGTGAAGCGCATAGAGCTTGCTGTTCAGCGGGGATTTGCGCTGTACAAATA